CAGGCTACAGCTTCTGTCACTGTAGCCAGGAGAGAAGACTTGGCAAGGCCTTATTTACCCTTTCTCCAAATGAGTTAAACTTTTCAACCTTTAAGGCCACACTCCAAAAGCCGTTTGCTTTCCTAGATCAAGTGCCATTCTGGCAATTGTACAGATACAGTATTTTTACCTGATGTGAAGGTAAAAATAGAAGTGAGGCTTGTAGTTGGGTGAAGAAGATTAGTTGCACTTGTTATTTTTCACAATGAACACACAGGAGCATGTATATGTGTAGCCAAGGAGAGGCTGTCCTAACCATGGACTGAGGATGTGCTGGATCAGATGGCAATCAAAAGCCCATGGCCTTAGGGACTTACAAACTACTTGCAGAATGTCTCACAGACATCTTCTCCCATGGAGAATTGTTGCAATCTTCAGTTTTATTGGCTTCTTTAAGCCTCAGACTCTAAAACTGGATGTTAGCCTTGCCCCATAGCTCTGAGATAACAAGCGCTGAGGCACCATGCAGGTGTTGGGTCTTTACCCCTTCAAGCACAAATGCTCATCTTGTTTGCACACCTCCTTTCTCAAGTCTTTCCTCTCTGTCTGATAAATTCTAATGAGGCATTTTACCACCCCAAACAGGGTTGTTCCTTGCCATGTCCTGCAGAGCCTGGCTCTCCAGTCCCACACTGCCTGCCTCACCCCTTCCTGCAGGGATCATGCAGCAGTCTCAGGCACTCTCAGCTTCACAGCAAAAATATAAATAAAGTGCTGTGCCAAAACACTATTCCCCTTATTGCTACCCCTTTTCTCTCTGTTTTGTTTCCTGTCAGGTGTTTTGCTCTGACACACCAAGACACAAAACTGGAGGTGGGAATATCTGGCCTTGGGTGTAGAGTGTTTCAAGAAGAGAAGTTCCTAGACATAAAATCAGCTTTTTCTTCCTTCTTCATGGGACCTTGCTGTGGGATGTTTAGGGCTTCCTGCCGCAGCCCCCAGGGTGGCCAGCAGCCCCCAGCTGGGACTTCACTCTCTCCAACACAATTGCAGTCTGCAGAAGTTTAAAGGCAGTTTCTTTTGAGTGAGCCACATGCTTCAAATTGTTATGTGGTTAACCACTGAGAACAAACCCCCACACAAATACCTAAGGATCAACTTGCTCAAACCAGGGTGGTAGCAGTGGGGGCACAAGAGGAGAGGGGAGACTTCCTCATTCTGCTTTTTATGAGAAGAAAATAGAGTTATCTTCTGACTTTCCTAAAGTGCCAGCAGCCGCCGTGTCACGGTGAGTGTTGGGTGATGCCGTTTGCACCTTTGTTTGCTGATAAAAGGAGCCTTGTTCAGCAGCCGTGGCCATACACACCATGGGCCACATCCTCTGCTGGTGTAAATCAGCTCCTCTGGTGAATAGGAATTGAAAATGCAACCCCCTCTCCCTGTGTTATGTACAAATGCCAAGCTGGGGGAAGATTTCAGTGCTTTGACATTGCTCTATCCCTTGTCCTTTAGCTTTTATAAAAGCTGAATACTTTTCTGCTGACTCACAGAGACAGATGGATTTTGTTAACTCCAGTCAAGATAGAGGAAGATGCACTAAAAGCATCACTTGGTGGGGCTGAACCCAGCTTTGGGGTTCAGGGGGGGACTGAGCAAGGAGCTTCACATCTCACCCTGTTCAGCATGGATGGAGCTTGGCACGTGGGTGTCGCATGGGAGGAGTGATGTGTGGTCTAGGCTGAGCCTGCTGCTAATCAGTGTCTGAAATAATGACCAGGCTGTCATTCCATCTCCCCCTCCTTGTGCCCTCTCTGGAGCTCTGCAGCTCCCCAAAGCCCAAGAAAGAGAATTGGAGCCAACAGCAATAGAAAGGAAACACCCCAAAAGAAGCAAAGAACTCAAATCCCCTTAGTAATTGCATTGCATCTGCTTAAATCCTCTTAAGTTACAGAGGATTTTAGTGAAGTAAATTAACTTCCCTTTGCTTGTGTTTCCTTTTATTTTTGAAGACTATGAAACTGTTGAGGAGCAAATTGTCTTACAAACTCATGGAGAAAGTTTCCAATCATGACTGATATAGCTGTTCATATAGTGTTCCTAAAAGTGGACCCAAGTGGAGATAGAGATAATTATTTTGCCATGGACCTACTTTAAGATCCATCTTAACTTTATTTTCATTTCTAAAATGCCTGATTAAGGGCTTACAGCATGGCTAAGATAATCAGGGGGAAAGATGCAATCCAAGCGTGATATGCTTTCTCAGGTATGAAACAAAATTGAATTCTTTGCTTTTTGAGGAAAACTGTGTGAAAAGGAAGGGTTAATTTTTTTTGTGGGGGGAACATTTTCAGTGAAAGTGGTTTAGTTCCTCTGGTCCATTTATCATCTGAGCAGTGAAACATCACTCTGCTTATGAAGTTAGCTCTGCAGGACTCTGTACCTGTCAAAATTGTTTATCCATACTCGCCAACTACAGCAAGAAAGGCAGGAGGACTGGCAGTTGTGATGGTGAGTAAGTTGGACACATGGAGTGAGGGCGCATGAGTTGAACCTCCTCACTGATGCAGAAAAAGAAAATGAGTGAGGGAAAGAACATTAAAACATTAAGTATCTAATCTTATAGAGTTTAAGGGTGCAGTTTGTTACAAAAAAAAAAGAAGAATCTGCAGAATTTCTTCATGGGCAACTGAGTAGGTAGGTCCTGGTGGCCAGTTAGTCCTCATGATGCTTAACATTCAGGAGTAAATGCCAGCAGAAGCAGCTGCTGGAGTACACTGGCACATTGACATTATTGACCATGGGATTGGGAATATTGCATTTAGGCAATTGAAAATTATTAAGTGATAATCACTTATTAAGGAATTATCAAGGAACTACTGAAACTACTGAGTGCTTAGGATTGTTATATGAAAATATATTAAAAATTCTCAGTCTAAATCCAACACAGTATTAATCCTATGTGAGGGCCATCAGGAAAAAAAAAAAAAAAGAGAAGGGGACGGGCAGAGAATTCAGGTTTATAAAAAGAAACCGGTACACAATGAGCTGAAGGTTGTGCTTCTGTACTTCCTGCTCTGGGTGTGAGCAGAAGAGGAAATACCAAAATACCACCAGAAAAACTATTCCCACAGCATTCCCAACCTGGCTGAAACCAGAGAAGTTCTGACAGCCCTACAAAAAGGGGGCAAAAATCCCACAGCCGACCCAGTCTCAAGGATCTGGCTCATAAGAAGGCCAACAAAATTTCCAAATCTAGGAGATTTGGGTAGACCTAGATGAGTCTTTATACCTTCCCTGACTCCTCATCTGTATTTTCTGCAGTTCACAGATCATTGATGACATTTGACTCTTCTGCCAGCTTTGAAAGAAGCACATTTCTGCTACAGTCAGTTTGATCACATCCATGACCACAGACCATCAAATTGCATGGTAACTGCAGGGCAAGGCACCTTGGTCCAGTCTAATTCAGGTGAGGGGTTCCTTGGACCCCTTCTAGAGTGAGAGTACATCCTACATACACTGCAAGAACTGACTTTTCAAAGCATAAAATGCCATCAGTTTCAGTGTTGCCCCATGTCAATAATTAAAACTAAATTCCTGGAGGCTCCCAGGCAGACAAGACATTAGTTTGGTCTGGCTCCTCCAGAAAATGTTCTGCTTTTAGCAAAGAACACCTTGAAGATGAGCAGCGGGATCATGTTCAAAGGGTTGTACAGATAGCTGGCACAACAGGCAGTTAGCTTAAAACCTCAAATCTGAAAGCTTTGCAAAGAACTGGGAAAATGTCCCTTTTCCTTTATTGGTATAAGAAGGAAAGTATTCTGTCCTACTAAATCCCCCCAAAATTTAAATGTCTGTCTCTTGTTTCATGCAGTGCTGTACACCAGAATTCAGGACTTGTTCAATAGTCTAAAAAAACCAGTAAAATTACTATTAAAGAGTAAAATTACTATAAAAAGCTGATTTTCCTATAGATGTTTCCTTACATCTAAGAAAATCCTGAAACAAGTTTTTCCCCTACAATTAGAGAATCAAATCCTTGGACTGGCTCCAATGAGCAGCTTAGGAATGTTCAGCACGACCACAGCCTCCAGCCCTGGGACAGAGCAAATGTTGCAACACTGATGATGCTTTATCTTCCACAACTTACTCCAGCAACACTTCCATGGATGCCAATAATCAAATGTGTTTCAGAGGCCTGAAAGGAAGATTTTTTTCTTTTCAAATTCTGAGTCACCGATTTTGAGACTGTCAACTGATTGCTTTTGTGACGGTGGTTTAGCTAAAACCACCTAAGGCTGATAATGCCATCATGAACTCTAACATCCAAAAATGAAGCTAAAACCTCAGCTAAGCCCCATGTCTGAATGCAGCTTTCCAGTTCATTCAGAGCAGCATAGCACTCAGCATTTTCCCTCCAACAACAGAAAGCCCCTTTCTGGCCTCCCGGAACTGCTGCATGGAATACACTGTTGCTCCTACTGCAAACTTATTTAAGAGACAATAGGGCAAATACTTGGCACACGGATTCTTCTTAAAACTTAAATCTAGATTCACAATAAAATGTAAAATGCCAAGGAAACATGCAAAGATAATAAGAAAATACTAAGTTTCTTTTCTTTTTTTGTTAATTTTTGCTGAGAGTGAGACATTACAATTTACAATATAGGCCCCATCCTGCAAGTCCTTTTTTACATGAGCTCTTTTTAAAGTCACTGATGTTTTTTATGTGAGTAAAAGTGTCTTACATGAGAAAGGACTCACAGAATCTGGCCTTACACATTTTGCTACAAAGTTTACCTAGACATTATCTGGGCTGTGGAGCAGTGTGCATATTTTCAGGATCGAAAAATGGACTTCAGTTGGTTTTTTTTTTTTGGAAAAAGTTCTGACTTCAGCTTCACCCGTCTGCTTTTCGCAGTTTGCTGCGCAGCCACATTGAATGGACGGGCTCAGCCTTTGTCCCTGTCCCTGAGCTGCTCCTCGCCAGCCATGCTCAGCCCCCACGCACTGTAACTCACCAGGACGTGTGCAGTCTGAATTCCCATTCCAGATTTGGTCCTCAAGCCTAAAGCCATTATTCCATCTCAGATTAAAACATATTCTCCCGTGGGCAGCTGAAAAAGAGCATGTTTCTTCAGGTTTTCTTGCCACAGAATGATAAAGTGAAATAAAATAATAATAATAATAAAAAGGAAATCCAATGTACGGCAATCCTCAGAGTTGTGGAGTCTAAGGGTGTTGATCAGAATCCATAAATGTCCTGACCGGTGAGGAGACACAGGCACTACAACTGGAAAGAAAGCAGGAAGGAAAACCTACCATGTGAGCAAAGTTTAAAAAAAAAAGGGGGGTGGGGTGGGGGGAAACGAGAGAGAGAAAAAGGTCTGCTCAGTGGACAGCACTTGGGCTGATAGCAGGGATTTCAGGAAATCCAAACACTCAGACAGGAAATCTGAACACTGGATAAACATGCCATAATCTCCACAGATACAGTTAACATGCAGCGTCCCTGTTAACCCCTTGCCTGCCCACGGCTGAGCCTGAAATCAGATCTGCGATTTGAGGCGCCTGGAAACACGAGCTGCCCGCGGGGCTCCGCAGCCTGAGCGCTCCCAAGTCTGAGCAGCAGCCCTGCATTCAGCCCTGCCCTCGCCTTTTTAACTCCACTGATTTCTACATTGTGCTGCTTTATTGGAAAGGTGCATAATTTTCCTCCTCTGAGAAGGAGATGCACCCTAAGCCCAGCAGCAACCTGCCCGAGCTCCTATGTGTCACTGACTGTGGATACTTGGTAGTTCTGAGATAGTTTATCCTGTTCTTTTTCCACTTCTCCTTTGCTGTAACACAAGATTTGTATGGCTGTGTGGGGGATATTTCCCATATATTGTGGGATATTTGATGGTTTATTGCAGGCTGGTTCAGTGGGGACCCCCTGCTTCCTCCCCTAGAAATTGTAGGGACAGGCTATTTAAATCAACAGGGGAGTTTGGAGACTCCCTTTATGCCATTTTGTCAAGGAATCTAGTTCCATGGCAGAGGGACTGGAACTAGATAACCTCTAAGGACCCTTCCAACCCAAACAGTCCTATGATTCTATGAATTCTGGAACAAACTCTGCAGTCCCTAGCAAAATTAAATGAAGCCTGTTTCGTTGGTTATTTGCAGAATATACATTTTGCTCTTTGTGTCTTGTGGTTCACTTGTCATCAAAAAAATATCACTTCTAGACTTTATTTATTTATTTTATATTCTACCTTGGTTACACTATTAATGTAAAGCTCTTAGCTAGGTAAAAAGGCAAGGAGAAGCAATCATATTGCATAGAGCTGACCCCTTGCCCCCACAGATTTAATTAACGAAATGAAGTTTGCATAAGAGTTGCCAAATTTAAATTCATAGTATTACAAGCGCGCGCACACACACATACACACACACACACACACACACACACACACACACACATACACACACATACACATACATACACACACACACAGACACAAACACACAAACACACACAATTAAGACTCTGCATGTTTGCAGAATGGGGACTTCACTGTGTTTTCTGGAGGAGGGCAATTCCAGGCTTCTCTGCTTTCCAGAGGTTATGGACTCCCACTTCCAAACATGCTTCCTCTCTCTGAAAATCGAGTTTTTGGGACAGTCCTGCCTAAAGCATGTTAGAAAAAAACCATCATGTCTTTAGATTTTCTGATTCTCCTAAGACTTCATAGAAATTTTTAAAAAAGGATAAAAATTAGTACCTTGAATTTCACTTGCTGGTGGAAGTAATTAGACACAGAGGTAATATCCACTGACTGGTGCCCCCGTTTAAGGCATTGGCAATTATCTCATCTGAAATAGCCCTAATGTGAGTCCCATATGCCATATTAACCTGTATCATTACATGAAGTTTCCTGCTAGGAAAACAGGAGCACTATAGGAAAATGCTTCCTTCAGCACCTTCTACTACTTGCAATGTGTTTCTGCTTATTATTTCAAAGACAGAAGCCCTGGCAATCCAGCATTGGTTACAGCATTCCCTGGAAGTGGCCAGGCTTGGACATCATGCCTGGACTATGGAGTTAGGTTATGGTGTTAGCTGCAGGGAGCCTGGCAGCAGAACTGGGGTGGAAAATGGGGCTTTGGGGGCATCCCTTCATCAGAACTCTCATCTTTTCTCCAGCCTAATTCTGGCTCAAAATATATCTTTCAATTTGGGTCCTCATTTTCCCAGTCATTCTCCTACTACATTTTGGAAAGTATGAGGCTGGTGATGGGGGTCAGTCCCTGTGAGTGTGGTTGGAGCACTGGTGGCTGCATCTGTGCAAAGAGCTGGTAGAACAAATACTTGACTTTAGAGGCATGAAGTCATCTGCCTTGCCTAGCACGTGCTGCATGAAACAAGGACCAAATGGTCCTTGTTGCTTGATGATGTCAGGAAGGAACTGGTGGAAAACTAGGGAAAAATTAAAACATGTCGGGGTTGAACTTTTTCCCTTTTTTTTCTTGTTCCATGTGCTTTGCCAGTGAGTTATTTCAGTTATTCACTTTTTTTTCCATAGAAGTCCTTCTGTTGTCATAGTATTTTTCACCTTCTCTTTTCTTGTATTTTCACCTCAGTGCCACTCTTTCCAGTAGAAAAAGGAAAGCAAAAAATAGAGAAAAGGGATAAAGTGCAGCCTTTTCAGTATAACTAGACAGAAATTAAAAAAAAAAAATAGAGAAAATAGGCATAAAACTTCAAAATATGCAGTTTGACAAAAAGAGCACCTTTTAAGATTGAGAGACTTTTCATTTGAAAACATTCAAGCAGCTCTAGAAAAAAAAAAAAAGATCTGGGGGAAGTGGGATATAATTTATTACCACTAACATCTGCTGTAAATCAGTTAGGTGTAGGCAAACATTCCCTACCAGGGCACAGTTAGGTCAAGGTGAGAGGGGATAAAGCAATAATTAAAAAGCCTGGTGTCCTCCAGCTGCCTTCAGTAGGCTGTAAGCAGAAGAGCAAGTGCTTTCTGCAAAACTGGGATTCTGTCTAGAAAAATTTCAAAGGAGTGGGGGGGAATAATTTATATTTAGTGGAAAAGTATCAGTTTATAACAACAATTTCCAGAAAGAATCACCAAAAAAATTATACTTTCCTGTTTTTCCAGTTTAAAAAGTAAGTACAAAAAAGGGTTTTGCTTATTGTGAAAGGTTTAATTTTATAGACATTTATGTTGAAAAACTCTACAAAAAGATGTTATTGCCCATCTTGGGAAAAAGGGAGAACAGAGATAGAATGGCAGGCAAAATAATGAAGCTGACAATAATAAACTTTACAGAAACATTCCAGCAGAAATGGGGTAGAAAGAAATTTTCAAACTCAAGCAAGCAGAGTTATCAAAGCTAAAGTCTGGAAAAAGATTCCTGGAAGGATACAGCAGCTGCAAAAAATCTCCCATCACCTTAGGAGAAAAAAAAGGCCAGTGGCCTTACTCAATACAGATGTGAAGATGCTTGCTTTGAAATTGGGAAAACCCCTCGACCACATCCACCCTTGATGTACCCTCAGCAGCTGAGCTTTCTGATCATTTGCTCTCTATATCCTCAGGATGAAGCTCTGTGTACTCCTAGAGCTTATAACAAAATTGTCACTTCCATAAAGAATTCTATGGCTACTGAATTAAGACAAGTCAGTTCATTAAAGATTAAAAGGGTTTAGATATGCATGTGAAAGATAAAGCACATGAAATAATTATAGAGATCATGAACAAAATGCTCAAGAAAATTATCATCAACATATGAGGCCCCAAGCTCTCTTACTTTTCATGTTTCACTTACAAGCCCTATATGATAATAGTTAGGATTTTTTTTTTCATTATAGATTGGAAAGAAAGATCAGCTCTTTACCACCCTACTTACTGGATTTGGAGAAGATTTCAACAGAATAAATAAAATGTTTGGAGAAAGAAATTGCAGGTCCCAGTTTTGTCATTCTCCACCCTTCAGTCACCTGGAGGCTTTACATCCTAGAAAATAATGACTTAATATATTGAAGTGAAACGAATGTACTTTCCCTTTGGAGCATGGCCAGCCTTGTGTCTCAGCCATCCCAGACCTTTCTCTCTCTAGCTACCAGAAACTGGATGCCAGAGAAATACTGTGGCACGTTAAACCACGTTCCCTAATCATACTGTGACTCTATCTGGATTTTCTGCAGCATATAATGAAACTTTGCAAGCATTAGAGAAAATCAGTAGAAAATAGTGTCCAAAGGGATTTCATAAACACTGACACAATTTACCATAAGCTATAAACACTATTTTTCTTGAAAACTTCGGTAATTAGCTTGTTTAGAGACCTCTTGCTGCACTACAAAACATATCTCTTTGTGCACTGGCTTTCAATTTTAACATTTCCTTGGAGATCCCTACCACTTTTATTACTAGTCCTGCTCCTTCCTAAATGAGCAGCCAAGGAGGTTTACTTTTGAGATGAGCATTCCTGCTGGCAATGTTGCACTAGGAAAAGCACCAAGCCCCCTCCATCCAGCAAACCATGTGCTCTTGCATTACACAAGAAACATTGTCACTTTCCCCACTTTTCACTCAGTGAAATACAGCAGAAGCTGTGTTCTAACAGGTTTAACAACATGTTTATACATCTATTAAGCAAATAGCACCTCTTGATGTTATGAAAAGGTCCAGGCATTAGAAACTGCCTTGACAAGAAGCACTTGACCCTAGTGGTACCTACAGGCTGCACAAATGCTCAGGAGGCATGTTTCATTTTCAACTGATTTTAGTTTTCTTTCTTGAAATGAGGAAAAAAACCCAAACCCTGAAGCATTTCCTTTTTTGCCTCTCCTTCATTGTTCCTTGTTACAATGGCAAAAATGGGGAGTATTTTCATAGTCTTTCCCCCCACCCCTATTTTCTTTCCAATTTGGCATGTGAAGGGAGGAAACCAAAGACATGTATAAACAATTGTTTTACTGGCTCTGCTCAAAAAATGCTGTATATAAATATATGGTAAAGGGTACTAAAGAAAGCAGATGTCACATAGAGAGGTCCCCATAGTGTCAAAGTAGTTGTTAGATTCATCTTTTCCCAAAGATATGTGGACAGTCCAGACAATACTGAGAGACAACTAGAAGTTGAATTATGCACCACAGACCCAAGTTGCAATAAAAATGCTGTGTGGAGAAATCTGCCCCTCTCTACATCCTTCTCCATAGGTTTCCAGGATGTCAGTTGTGCTGAAACTGCTGGGTTGGAAGGACACCTTGGACATGTGAGGATCACACTGGGCTTATTCTCCAATTGTCACTAAAGTTTTCCTTGGATTCCTTTTAAAAAATGTTTGAAAAAGATGCCGTCTCAATGTGGTGCCACTGGTTTGTTACAAAAAACTTAAATGACAAACAGAAGTCAAGAATTCCAGATATTAACAAAC